GCCCAGACCCTGGGCAGACTCTTCTGAATGACTTTTGAATAGTGTTGACTTAAAAGAAATCTCCTCCTGCAGGTTTAATGAGTGCCCCCTGGGAAGCTCCTGATGTGAATGGGAATCAGGACTTGACAAAAAACATAAAAGATTCTGTGTCAGCAGGGCTGATTTGATTCTTAATGAACTGTTAATTTATTTGCTGTGATTTCACACATCTGCTTTGACCACAATGCCATAGTACATTTGTTAATCCCTGTACTATTATTACGCATAGGTATATTCTCTATAAAAATGGTGGGTGGGGAAAGAGGAGTTTGTATACACAATTTTTTAAAAAGGGACACATAGCCTTTTATTCAAAGAACTAGTAGGCAGAAAAATGTTAGACTGCCCACTATTTGGAATCACACTCCCTTGGGACTGAGACAGAGTTTGGCATTTGGGTTCATAAGACTGTAGAATAGTTTTGAAGGTAACAGACTCAGCAGAGTCCTAGGCCACACAGCAAGCCGCCATGTTTAGTTAGGGCTACTTATAGTTGGTGGTTTGGACAGTTTGACTGCCATAGGAAATGTTACTCTGCAAATATTTTCTTGACAGCAAAAGCCAAAATTGTTTCCCCTCCATACTTGAGCTGGGGCTTAATAAGGAAGGAAATACAAAAGAAAAAAAGAGAAAAATGAATTTGCTGCAAAGAGGCAGAGATTTCATTCACCACTTTATTCTTATAAGTCTCATAAGACAGACTGTGTTTGGTCCGTCAGAAGACAATTTCATGGTTTCATTAGGAAACAGATGCATGTAGGCCACTGGGAGAGATAAAGCTCAGTTAATCTTCCCTGTTTGTGAATGAAATGGGAAGAACTTTAACACAGAGACCAGTCCCAAACTGAATCCTTGTCCCTCGGGAGCCACATGAATCCCAAGGGGCTACACATGCTGGCACTTACTGGAGCTTTTGTATCCGGGGCTGTGACCAGCTTCCCGAGCCTGCCTCTGCCTCTCTGATGCTACAGTCCAAGGCTGGCTCAGCAACATTCTCCAGGCTAGTTCAGCAGGTTTGGGAACCTGAGGTTTGGTGAGTGAGAGCAGGAGGCTAGTGGTTAGCAAGAAGGCTTTGTGGTGAAGGGTCCAGGCAAGTATACAGGGACTTTTACTTGGCAAAGGGAAACCTCTTTCCCCTCTTGGTTTGCATGAACTTAGGTCATGGAGGAGCCAGGACCCACATCTATTTAGGGAACATGCAGCTTCCCCAAGTTGAGGGGGATGGAGAGCCAGAGCTGCTATCCTACTCTTCCAGTGAACTTAAGATTCCACAACACTAAAGACACTGTGGAAAGCACTGTGACATATAAGCATGCCCTCTGCTCCCCAGGAATATGTGGTCCAGGAGAGGAGAGGAGAAGAGAGGAGAGGAGAGGTCAGTATATTCACTTTCATTCATATACCTTATACAAAGTTCCTGAAAGGTGGGACGGTCATTTACTGAATATTTGAAGTAGCAAAACTAATAGGTTCACCTAGGAATCTGAGAGAGGAATGTGGCTCTAAGGACATATAAAGAGCTAAACCAGATACACCTATGTAGTAACCACTGTAACTCTCCATTCCCTCTCTGTATTAGAGTATTCAACTATACCCTTTGCTATGTATGTGCCTTTACAGTTTTTCCTACTAGATGTAAGGGTATCCCCCTACACTATTAGTGAAAATCACTGTTTGGTGAGACATGGCTTTGTGAAGCCAACAACCCGGGTATTACTTTCTTTTAGATACTTGCAGGTGGCTACACCCTCATGATCCAACCCACCCTAATTTCCCTTTCCTTCCTCAAAGGTCACATTTGCCATCTTTTAAAATTATTTGGTGCTTAGGAGCATTTGAGATCCTGCTCCCTGGCATATGTCATCAGTTTGGTTCAAATAAACTAAAAGAATTATTTGGTCCTCTTCTCTAAGACTCTTAAATAGCATTTTCCATAACTACTTGTCTGATTTCTAGCAAGCCACCTAATTTGGGGTTCAATTTTAACATCTCTGAAACAGGATGGATGAGATTTCCTAATTTCTAGGATTCCTTCCTGCCCTAATATTCATAGATGCAAAAGTTCTCAACTCCTTATTGTTATCAGAACCCCTGAAAAGAACTTAATAAAAATGTAGGTACTTAAAGCACACTTCCAAAGATTTTAATTTAGCAGGTTTGGGGCAGGAGCCCAGAACCTGAATTTTTAGTGAGCGCCCCCAGATGGTCTAACGTTTATCCTATAAGTCCCATTGTTTTTCATCCAAAACAATTGCATGAATAGAGTAAAATGAGTTTTAAGTAAGAGCTAAAAGAAAAGAACTTCCCAGGTGACTTGAAGGGGGATCCTGGATCAGAGGCGACTTGAGTCAGTAACAATCTAGCTGGATGAAATAATACCCTGAGGACACTCAGAGAAGCCCAGCTGCATGTAGAGCCCAGAACCTTTTCATCTTTAATGTGTTGCCGCCATGGCAAGTTATTAATTGAAAGTGGCACTGACTTGGCTCAAAAAGCAAATGCGACATCATAAGTGTAAAACAACTTATAAGTGATGTTTAAAAATAAAAACAGTTGATTGTTTTCAATGTGTGGTGGAGATGAGAAAGATTTTACCTAAAAAGAAGCTATCAAATTTGTCGATTTTTAAAGTACAAGTTCTGTATATAGGTGCTTTTGTGTGTTTATATACATGTATTACATATACATGTGTTCATATGTTGAGTCTATATGACATATTAAAGTATAATTCACAATAATGAACTAATAATAATCAACAAGGTAGTTATAGCCTAGTGCCTGAAAATTGTATTGTAGGAATATTTAAGATGTATGTGCTGCAGTCTGTGGTCTTAGGATATCATCTGTACAAGCTTGGAAAAGCTACATGTGTAGAACATAATGATTTTGAGTTGTGCAGCCTATTTTCAGACATTTAAAGATGTTAAACAGATTTCCTGTGGGACTTTCTCACACATTCACTCCATGTCTGAGACTGCTTTCTCCAAAGTGTCTGCCAGAGAAGACGGAACACAGGGAGCCAGCACCTAAGGGAGCAGGGGGTGGGGAGTCGGAAAACACAGTAACCCTGAGTTGGGACATCATCAGTCCATCTGGAAACAGATTGGGTAATAGATTATCCAACCATCTCCGTTTTTGCACCTCCTCCCTGCCCTGCAGGAAATAAAAAGTGCCCACAATAGCCCTAATGTTCCATTTACGCCTATACCTTTCTCCACTCTTCATGGACTCTTACTTCTTGGCAGTGAAAAGCTGCTTCCTTGGGGTAAAGGTGTCAGGCCTAGGAGAGATCTCACCAATCCCTCGCTGATCTCACTGAAGCTTGGGTTGTGCCTTTAAACTTTGCATTTCATGCAGATGTGCACTGTGAGTGGACTGAAGCCTATGCCATGTACCATTCTTCCCACGCCCCAGGCCACCAGCTACCTGACCGCCCGGGTGGCTCTTGAACTGAAGGCTCATCATGGTGTGGCTTATGTGCTATTATCACTCTGGATAATTAAGACTTCTTTATATGCCTACAATGAGTTAGCAACCCTTTCACAGTTGTATTTTTAAAAGGGTGACAACCACTTACCCATTGTGCTTTTGGTACATTTATATGGAATACTCCCAACTACTGTGTCTCCTAACGCTGACCCCTGAGCTAATTAGCAATCTAGTGTGATTATTTCAGTTTTCTAGAGACCAATTAAACAGACAGAGCTCACAACAAAAAAAAGGAAATTTAAAAACAGAAACCAGAATCTGCTGATTGAGGAGAGAAAGCCAAGACAGGAGAGAGCATGAAAGTGGCCAGTGAGGTGAGTTTGCGATCAGCTCTGATTCTGCTAGTATTGAATAGAACACTGAGCCTCCTTGAATTCAGATTTGACCACAGTTTACCTGAGAAGCACCCCCTTCTCCCATTAGTAAAACAAAAAATAAACAAATAAACACACACACACACACACACACACATCAGCGACATTGATCACAAGCACAGAATGGCTCACACTAGGTGCACCTTAAGTACAGATTGTGCCCAGACCCCCATGCTCAGAGGCAGCTTCACACCTGCATTTCAGCTTCAGCCTACAGGGACCCTCATCAAGCTTCCCTCACCCCTGCATCGAAGCCACCGAGGCTTCAAACCGCAGGCTCACTCTGAGCCACGCACTCTTCTCCAAGGGATGTAAAAACGTCCTCTTGTCGCCCCCACTCTCCTTCCCTAGCCAACATCTCTATTTAGAGAGGGAGTTTCAGTTGCCTCCCCGAAAACAAAAAAAGCAAAAGGTGAGGGCTGCGTGTAGAGAGAAGCTAAACTACCTACTCACGCCCCTCTCCACTCACCCACGCTTCTGCTCCTGGCTCCGCCTTCTCCTGCAGGGAGCTGGTGGTCAGGTGAGGTTACCTGGGCTCCCGGAAAAGCCCGGAGGGGCCGTACGATCCTTTCTCTCGAAGTTGCCCCACTCCCTGCCGGGCCCCCTGGACTCTTTGCCCCTCCGCCCCTGCGCGTGCCCCCTGCCCCTCGGGCTTCGGCGCGCAGCAACAGCCGCACGCAGCGCTCGGCTCCCCTCCGCGGACCTGGCGTGACGCAGGCGGAGACTACTTAAGGGCGGATTAGAGGCGGCGGCCGCGGATTCCCGAACCCCGCAGCCAGCTCTGCGCGCTCCGCCCCAGCCTTGCAGGTGGCAGCGCGGCAGCGCTCAGTGCCGGCCGAAGTGCCAGCCGCCCCGGCTGGTGCCCAGACCCTTCTGGCCCCCCAACCCCCGGGTTGACTGGCGCCCAGAGACCTCTCTCGGGTGAGCGAGAGAGCTCGCGGACCTGCACGCTGCCACCCCCGCCCCTGCCCCTGGCCCTAGCACCCGTGGGCTCCAGACCTGCCCCTGGGACGGCGCGAGAGGTCCTGCCGGCTCTCCGGACTGCGCCAGCTGCCCCATCAATCGGAACGCGCTTGAATTTCTATCCCCATTTCCCCCTTTTAAGTACAATAAAAGGGAAAGGGGATTCGTGGATTTTTGAAACATTTGTTTGCTTCTTAAATCGCGGGGCAATTTGCTCCGAGCCGGGAGGTGCGGCCCGGGGAGGGGCCAGGAGCCAGAACGTGCCCGGTACTGCCCAGCCTTTGTCTGCTGCCTCCGGATGCACAGCGATGGGGGAATGGACCATCTTGGAGAGGCTGCTGGAAGCCGCGGTGCAGCAGCACTCCACTATGATCGGGAGGTAAGGGCGCCGAGCTGGCCGTCGGGCGGCCCCTAGGAGTCCCTTCCTACGTCCAGACTGTGCCCCAACAGCCCCCAGTCCATTCTCTGCCCCTGCCCATCGTCCTCAGCCCATGCGTCTGTGTTCCCGGCATTGAGGGATTACTTGATGCTCATTGATGGCCCCCTCCTTCAGCTACTCCTGCTCACTGCCCCCATCCCCTCCACATGAAGCACCACCGGGGGGTGGGAGGGGGGTTCACTCTTCTCCCAACGAAAAATGAGTCGTTGGCTTAGTCATTGTCCCCCCACTCTCCGGAGTCAGAGCCAATCTCCACTGGTTCTCTAAATAGAATCTACAAGGAAAGCAGGATTGTATTTGGACAGAGAAGGGCAAATGGGAAGATGGATTTGCTCTTCAGAGCAGATGTATCTTTCCGCAGCAAACGTTTATTAAGCTAAACTGATTTGCCTGTTAAAAGAGCGTCAGAAACCCACGCACTCAGTTCACAATTTCGTATATGTAATGTATATATATTCATAAATATCTGTTTATGTAAAGCATTAGGTTCAATATTCAACTGAGGATAAACACCCAGTTGGTGTACTTACATACACACACTGTGTAGACTTTGAAACATGCTGCGTTCAGATATTCCGTGTGCATTTGCCATATTCAGAGTGAAGGTTTGTTTTGTGCCTTTTTACATTCCATGTGTGCCAGTGAAATCTGGCTACTGCAAATGTAACATGTCCAGTGTATGGAGACCTACATATCTGAGATCCCTGAAATATGAAGCGCTCCCAACACCTAGCAGATAGGGAAAAGAAAGGTTTCTTAAGATTTCCAGTTCAGTACCACTCAGGGGTGGACAGCTCCCCAGTCAAAGCAGTGGTGTAAACACCAGAGCCGGTGAGGGAGGAGCAGGGGTTTCCTAAGTCAGTGACTCAGCCCATGAGAACCTCTCTCCCTTCCTCTCCCCCTGCTCAGGATCCTGTTGACTGTGGTGGTGATCTTCCGGATCCTCATTGTGGCCATTGTGGGGGAGACAGTGTACGATGATGAGCAGACCATGTTTGTGTGCAACACCCTGCAGCCCGGCTGTAACCAGGCCTGTTATGACCGCGCCTTTCCCATCTCCCACATTCGTTACTGGGTCTTTCAGATCATAATGGTGTGTACTCCCAGTCTCTGCTTCATCACCTACTCTGTGCACCAGTCTGCCAAGCAGCGAGAACGCCGCTACTCTACGGTCTTCCTAGCCCTGGACAGAGACCCCCCTGAGTCCATGGGGGGTCCTGGAGGAACTGGGGGTGGGGGCAGTGGTGGTGGAAAACGAGAAGATAAGAAGTTGCAAAACGCCATCCTCAATGGGGTGCTGCAGAACACAGAAAACACCAGCAAGGAAACAGAGCCAGATTGCTTAGAGGTTAAGGAACTGACCCCACACCCATCAGGGCTGCGCACTGCCACGCGATCCAAGCTTCGAAGGCAGGAAGGCATCTCTCGCTTCTACATTATCCAAGTGGTGTTCCGAAACGCCCTGGAGATTGGGTTTCTCGTGGGTCAATACTTTCTCTATGGCTTCAGCGTCCCAGGGTTGTATGAGTGTGACCGCTACCCCTGCATCAAGGAAGTGGAGTGTTATGTGTCGCGGCCGACTGAGAAGACTGTCTTTCTAGTGTTCATGTTTGCTGTGAGTGGCATCTGTGTTGTGCTCAACCTGGCTGAACTCAACCACTTGGGATGGCGCAAGATCAAGCTGGCTGTGCGAGGGGCCCAGGCCAAGAGAAAGTCAGTCTATGAGATCCGCAACAAGGACCTGCCACGGGTCAGTGTTCCCAACTTTGGCAGGACTCAGTCCAGTGACTCTGCTTACGTTTGAAGGAGCGGGTTTTGGAAAGGCCTGGGGGTGACACGCGGTCTTACGGCAGACAACTGCTCAGGAATGGCTATACCTGTCCTCATTTATGCGACTTTCAACATTGAGATACAGGATAAAGTTGGTTAAGAGAAGCTCTCACATCAATGGCAGAAGAGAGAAAGTAGAATCATTACTACATGTCACACCACTGGCTCCACAGAAGCAGATGGGTAGAGTGATGAGATGGATGAGTTAGACTTCTTCGGGACCTTTTATTTTATGGCCCAGAGAGATCTCAATAAGAGTGAACTTGCATAGCTACCAAGAAGGACTTAGCTCTGCTGAGCTCTGTATCCTGGTGAATGGGATGAGTCAAATATTTCATTGGTACAAAATGTGTGACTTAGCTCAGCATATCCATACATCCTGGGCTGCAAGAAAAACATCCTCGAGACATCCTTCATGTACCTCCCCTATCAGCATGCCTCTTTCCCTCAACCCAGGATAGCATGACAGCTTTTTTTTTTTTAACTGAATCTGGCTTTCCAGTAGACCTAATATGGTTTATCTGCAAGCTAGAGGGGATTACTTGGGGGTGCTTTTGGGGGAATGGTCATGGCAAAGGTTTGCATTAGAGTCTCGTATGACTGGCCCTTGGTCATTATGAAAACCTTAGGAATGTCTCAATATTTCCAGTTTTCTAACTCAAACTGCACTGGTGCTGTTTATTAGGGACAGGGTTCGGGTGGGAGGGAGGGAATTGCAATATGCAACTATAACACTTGTGTGAGCTGGTTGTTGCACTGTTAGGCATGTGGTTATAAGCTTTGGGATATTTCTGCCTTCCAGTTTGTGGACTTTGAATAGCATTCAAAATATTTTTTTGTTAATAACAAGGGTGTCTACCCGAGCAACAGAATTTCTAACTGGTGTATTTCACTCATTTTCTAATCTAGTTTTTTTTGTGCAACACAACTGCATTTCCTTTTGCCGTGGTTTGAATTTTCCTGTGTGCTCACACCAGAGACCTTAATTGGCCCATGTCAATCCCTATTTATTATTATTTTATCAGTTATTTTTGAAACATACACACACGAGAATCACTGGAACTGAAAACTACTGGCTAACACGTGTTTACGGATGCTTGAGACATAATACCAAAGGTTCAAAAACCTATTGCTTTGGACTGTGAACATGTTTCCTTCTCTTTGCTCTTATTTATTTAAGTGCCATACTGTACCTTTCACATCCACTGTGTGTTTAGTTAAAGCATCGGCCAAGAGTGATATTTGGATAATGTGCTTTTATGAAGCCCTGTTTCCTTTGCATTATCATTATGATTTTGATTTAGATATGGATGTGGTGTAACACACAACCAAGGATTCGTTAAAAATAAAGTTCTTGCCTTTTTTTGTAAAATGGGAAGTCTGCGTTTTTCTATTTTGTTTGGGGTTTTATTTATTTGAATATGTGTTCAAAGTTATTTTATTACCTATTTTTAAAAGCAGAACATTGGGGGCTGAAAGCGAGAGGATCTGAGGGATGACCATTAAAATCCAAATAGCCACTAACAAATGAGAAGAGGTTGCTACATTTTATGAATGTTTAGAAGAATGTTTAGAAGACTGTGACAAATTATTCAAATAGTAGTATTTACTATCCTTTCCACGTTAACCCAAGATTTCACTGTTTTCCTGAGGCTCTTTCTTGCCAACGCTATATCATATAAGCTCATTCCAGGAGTGAAATGTTTCTCCCTTCCCACCATACTTTCCTGCCATGGACGGTCACAAAGGAAGATGCGCTGAGCTCTCCATCATCTCCTTAAGACCTGACGTGTAAAATGATGCTAAGCCAGCAGTCAGGCAGAGCCCTCTAGACCAACACTGTTCAGTGCAAGTGCGTGTAATGGTGGAAATGCTAAACTATCTTTGCTGCTCTATACAAAAAACTATTGAGCTCTTAAAATGTGGCTAGTGCAACAGAAGAACTGAGTTTCTAATTTTATTTAAATTTAATTAATTTAAATAGTCATATATGGTTGGTTGCTACTGTATTATACAGCACAGTTCTAGACTTTTAATGATTTATTGTGGGGTTCTATCCAAGGGGACTGAGCCCTTGATGATATGTCACAATATATTTACTTGTTAGCCACACATTTTGGTATCGTTTTGGGCATTTCCTGCCTACCTGTGGCCCCGTTAGTTCAGTATGCTAATACTCTTTCTCAATTATTTAATGATACTCGCTTTCTAATTCCAATGAGCACTTGGTCTGAACAGAGTGAAGCAGTGTGGAATTTCCTGGATGATTGTTTTTCCAACACAGTTGTTGCACCCTTTAACTATGGTGGGGCAGATACCAATTTTAGCATGAAAATGTTTATTTCAATTGATGGGTTTCCATCTGCAGTATAAAGAGGCAGTTGAAAAGGATTATTCTTGAATAAAGAAACAGATCCTCCTCTGTTTCGTGTTTAGTGAGCTAAAAATGTTTTAAGACACCTCCCAGAGATGGAGGAAGAGTGTTGCTTAAGATCTGTTAGCATATGCTTGGGTGTGAAAGAAGTAGGAATCTGTGTGGAAAACAAGGGCTGTTGTATTTATGTCACGAAGTAAGATAGAAGAATAATAGTGTTTCCTGGTAGAAATACGTTTTGTATCTGTGGGGCAGATCTATTTCTTCTTCGAATATGGGTCAGCCTTCAGAAGGACTGTTCTGTGTCAGTCTGATTCTTTTGCTTTCTATTTAATGAAGGAAGTATACTCATGATCTGATGGTTCACATAACTGTGTGACTGATGTGACCTTAATCTGTACTTTGTGAGAGGACAGCACTGATATCTTCTCTCAAATTTAAGAGCCTTTTGCTGAACTACAGGCCCTCCCAGCCTGTGTGTGCACTGTGAGCGTGTGTACATGCACACACTTTGGGGTAGGTACTTGGTGCCAGTGCATTAACTGGGTTTAAAATTTGAAGAATAGCCTGGAGAGAGTGAAGTTACTTAGCCTGTAAAAGCTGAAAGGACAGAGTTTGTCATTTTTAAGTCCTCAGATATCTAAAAGGTTAAAACATATTAGAGATAACTGTACTCACTGAGCTCTGAGGACAGAGAAAAAGGACTGGACTGAGAATTGAGGGTGTGGGAGGTTGGGGGATTTACCAGAAAGAACATGGTTTCTCTTTCATCTCTGCTTTTTTTTGAGAAAATGCTCTTTCTTCTTCAGGGAATACCCGTCCCATCACCTCCTTTCACTGGGTGTATTCCTCTTTGCCCTTAAAATCAGTTTGGCTGTCCATGCACACAGGGACCTATTCTAAACTCTCCTTGGGACTGGCGTGGTGCTCCTGCACTGAGTTTCCATAAAAGTCACTCTCCCACTAGCTGCATGCAGATGAGACATTTCTATATCGGTATGTGGCTCCTTGAGGGTAGGAACAGTGCCTTACCCATTGTCACCATATGTAACATTTATTATTACCATCTCATTTACCACCAGAGAGATGAGAGCTTCAGCCTTTCATTTGGGAAAGTTTGATAGACTCATAATGTATGAAAACTAAAAGCATCTCATGAAGACATTAAGTCAAGCCTTTATTGAAACGTTAAAGAAACCAAAATACCTAAAATGAGGACAGTGGGTTTCTTGGAAAGTAGTGAGAATATTCATCTCAGAGGACTGGAATATTTAGAGAACAATACTTATATTGGTTTGAGTCTGCTCAGGCTTCCTTAACAAAATACCACAGACTGGGTGGCTTGAGCAACAGAAATTTATTTCACACAGACTGGAGGCTAGAAGTCCAAGATTAAGATGTTAGCACATTTTGTCCTGCTTGAGGCCCCTCTCCTTGGCTTTCAGATGGCCACCTTCTCATTGTCCTTACCTGGTCTTTTTTTGTTGCACACACGTGTCCCTGGTGTGTCTGTTCTATGTGTCCAAATACCCTCTTCTAAGGGGGACACCAGTCATATTGGATTATGGCCCACTCTAATGACATTTGAATTTAGTCTCCTTTCTAAATACAGTCACATTCAGATCTGGAAGAACTCAATTCAGCCAGTAACAGTAGTATTTTCAAACCTTTGTAGGTCCTTTATGGTTAGGGAGGGCTGTATAATTTAGTGGGATAAATGGGATACCTCAGGTAATGAAATGGGAAGGATAGCTAATTGAATGAAACACCAGAACAATGGTTATAAATTAAATCTGTCTTTGAGCAAAGCGAGTTGTTTACTCAAGACAATAAACAGCCATTGAGCCTGCGTTCCAGGGCCTGGGACCCTGGAGATCATTATAATGCCAAAGTCTCAAATCTTGAGAAGGGCTGTCAAAGCTACTTCTCTGACAAAAAAAAGTGAAAATTTATGTCAATAATGGGAAAATAGTACTGTATTTAAAACATACTGATGCCTTTGGCCCACTCCAGGATACCTCAATTAGAATCTGATGCTGTAGCCTAGCATCAACATTTTTTAAAAATTTCCATCCCTAGGGGATTTGAATGTGTAGTCGTAGTTGAAAACAACTGATTTGGAGACATTCACATAAAATTATGAGAATCAGATGTTTGAAGGAGAAGTTGGAAAAGGAGAAGTAGGAAAGTATGGAGTTGTCACAAAAGAGCTGCCCCATTTACATTACATGTGACATTAGTGATAAGAAGCTATAGACGGACAACCAGCCGCCACCTTCGGGGCTTCAGGAATGGAAGCTGCAGCCATGGCAGTGAGAGGAGCTGACCAAGGGCAGGGCCTGGAGTGGACAGAGGAGGAGAAGCCTGGGAAGGAAGTTGAAAGAGCTGGCTGGCAAAGGAGAGTTGCAAAGTGATGTCATAAACTTGAGGGAGGTAGAATCTCAAGAAATAAGGTCTGTTATTACTACTAAATTTTAGTAAGTATTCAACTAGACAAATAGCTAAATAAAAGCCTGAAAAGCATCCCCTAGATGCAGTGCATGAGTGGGAACATAGAAACAGTGAGCACAGACTATCTTTTGCTTAGAAGCTCCAGAACTCCTGCAGGTTCCAGGGAAGCAATTAAACTGCGAGCAAGTGAAGGGTAAATGATCAATCTCATCCCCGCCAGGGCTCGGCCATCCAGTCAAACATGGTGAGCCAGTTTTGTGACTACCCAAAGGTTATGTTCGTAAAGAAGATTGTTATACACCAGATAGATTAGCTAAAATACATCTGGTGGAACCAAACTTAAAAGAGCAGTTATATCTAAAATGTACTCTGTGGCTCTTGTCAGCTTTTGGTCTTGAGGGCTGTAGACATAAATCTAGAGGCTTTTCAGAGATGCTGGGGCCAGCAAGTCAATGACTGACTAGCTGTTTTGAGTCAGGCCTGTGGTTCAGCCTGGCAGCCAGTGCTCTCAGTCTCCAGCAGGTGTGGCAAACAGAGTTCTGAGAAATGGACCAATTCTTTTTTTTTTCTGAGCTTGAAGACTAAGAATGCTAAAACACGTTTAACTTAACAAAGGATCTATCACCTATACTTATACCCCAACTCTCCCATTCCAACCCCTTCCTTGAAAATCCCAGTTTCCAAAAACATCAAGCAATAGAAAATCAGTGTGTTCAAGTCACTGCTTTCTTTGGCACCAGTGGTGTGCAAGGGCCTGGACTAGGTGTTAAAGGCATTACAAAGACAGATGTGATGCATTCCCTACACTCTCAGGGCCTCCAGGCTACCTGAGGGGAATAATAAAACTTCTTAA